AATCTTCTTTCAGCTCAAGTGCCTATCATCTTAAGTGTCTTTTCCCAATCCAAGTTCTTTTTTTCTCTGCTTACTAATCTTCTTTCATTCTTATTTCACTTCATTCTTATACATTAGTGTTCAGGAGCCTCTTCCCAAACTCAATTACTTGGCTTCTTCTCCAGATCTTGTATGTAGCATTCTCCCTTTTATTCCTGGCCTACTCACACAGTGCTCTTTCTAGTAGATCTTAAGCAATACCTTTCACTTCAGTTTGATGTTCCCTCTTTTAACTAGCATTTTGTCATAAAAAACACATGTAACTATGCAGACTATGGAAGTAAGCCTTAATGACATAGCTACACCAAGGAAAAAGCCATGGGTAATTGGACATTAGAGGTGTAATGTCCTGCACCATGCACACACGTTACACTGCACTCAGTCTCCTTACCTTCACTGATTTTCTGAGCAATAACCATGGCAATAAGCATGGCACCTGTAGCTTGTAGGTTGTAGCTAGCAGGAGCTCTCGTTCCTGATGGAAACACTCAGGATAAAAAGGACAGGGTACAAAGGCAAGTGACACTTAAAAAACAACTACCACTCCTTTAGAAGATGAACACCTAACAACCCTTAGTACCAGTAATGGTAAGGCAACATCATCAGCCAACAAAACTAAGGGCAAGAGTGGCAAAGCCTCCTTCACAAATGACAGCTAAGAGTGTGGAAAGGATTTCTGGTATCCTTTGGTTACCAATCTCTACAGATTAATATCTAGAGATGGCTACTGAGATGGTTTTCAAATTGTAACTGTAGTTGTACCTTTTTCACTGTCCTTGTTTACAGCAGTGATGGCTTCCCTAGAAAAATACTACCAAACTTGTATGACAAAATTTGAAGGAGTGTAACAATTGTAGTTACAAAGCAATAGCTCAGCATGTTAATTAAGCAATTTTGTTTCTAAGAAAAGCAACTCAGGAAATATGTCAGATATTTAATTGCAATTATTAGTGTACTGGCAAATTAGAATAAGATAGTTTTGTTGTCAAAGGCTCAGCAACAGAGAGAGGTGTCAACACTCTCTTGTCAGAGAAGTCCATCCTGCACAAAGGCAGTATTGAGAGAACATTCAAGGCTTCACTACCTCCTCCACACTTCATTTGATAGGATGATTGGCTGTTATGCTTCTGTAACCTGTTTTCTGCAAAAGCCAGTAGCTGGTTCATCACTAAAGTTACACTAACAAAGACAAGTACCTGCAGCTGGTTTTTGCTGTTGTTTTTTAAAGGAAAAGATCCTTGTTCTTTGCCTTACTTCATTCAGATAGACAACAGTTAATGTTTCCATTAGCACAGCTGTATGAGTCATTTCACACAAACAATCCACCACTTTAAAGGGCAGGCACCAGACAGGGAGATATAACAACAGAATTTTATCTTAGGCAATGAGAAATACTGTTGGTACCTACTGGGAATAAGAATAATGTAACAGGCAATGAGAATAATGTGAATGCAATAAAAATCTGACAGTAGCACATAAAATAATGTCAGTGTTACAATCTGAAGAAAACTAAAAATTGAAAGAAATTGTTCCAGCCTAAGAGGAGACACCTTAAGACTCCCACAAGCATATGAAAATGATGACTTGTTTGTGGGTTATCAAATACTATCAGTACATCCAGCACTTCGAACAGTATAGGGCAACCCATCCTCAAGGCAGATCAATGTAAAAGTCAGGACTCATGATTACAAAGTTAACTTCATTGTCCAAGTTGTACTTACTCCTTGGAGAACAGAACTTGGGGGTAGAGGGTAACAAGGGTAGCAATCCAGCTAAAGTATATTTTCATGTGATCTGCTATACCTAACACTAGAATAGAATTATTTCACAGACATGTAATGCCAAAAGCTCTGGCTTTAGGTGGAGGGAAAAAAACAAAACAAAACAAAACAAAAAACACCAACAAAAACTAACAAACCAATAGGTAAAAGAGAGGGAAATTAATTACCCTGTGGGCAAAATATCTGAACACAATAAAATCAACGTAAAAAGAATAGGCTTGATAATCTAGACATAGAAAATGATGACTCAGAACTGAAATTGGTTCAGATCAGTCTCTATTTCTGAGAGCATTTAGATGTTTTAAGGTATTAGCATTGCTAATGCTAAAAGGGACTGCCACAATGTGAGCAGATGTTGGACTTATGTGGTTTGTGATTGACCATCAAATACAAGGGGTATTTTTGCTAAAACAAATATCTATCCTATAATTATGCATCTTTGAAGTATAAAATTTTCACAAAGTAGAAATATCTTCATTTAAGTTTGTTTTCACATCAGGTAAATGTAAATGCAAGAGATTACTTGCATATTTTTTTTGTGAGGAACGTTTCTATTATAAATGTTATTATTGGCTTCTAGCTGATGTCTGTATCTAAACCTCGTGGGCAAGTTCCTCAGTGTTCGATGTAACAAATCATATACCTTTCTTTATTTTATATGAGTGCTACCCCTCTAACTGCACTACATCAGAGCTATCATCCAAAACAAGATTGATTCAAATCAATGTCAGCTTGTCTGATGGTTTGATAGACTTCAATTCAAACTCTGGTTAAAAATCTAGCAAACTGTATGGATTTGGAACTCGTGCAGTCAACTAACTCTGTAAGAAAGGTTTTCATGATCTAAAACCAAGATGAAACAGTACAAAAAGTAAACAACACAAATAGCTTTGAAAATTTTATGATCTATGAATGCCCGAAGGACTAACATAAACAAAAAACCCAACAATAATCACATATAAACATCACTTGGGAAGGGGATCTACTAATTCATCTTTACTTACCTACCCTTATTATCTGAAAGTGTAAATTGGTATTATAACTTCTAATTCCCACAGCAATACCTAAAGTCTCAACAATAGCATAAAGTCTACAAATGCTTAGACAGCAAACAGTTTTTATCCATACTACGATATCTTCAGGACAAAGTATTGCCATACAGTGCCTATTACTGCCTACATAATTTTCCATTCAGAAAAATAATCTATAGATCTGTCCCAATCCATCTTTGTATGAGATAGAAACGTAGAGAGAGAGCAGATGAAGAATCACAGTGTATCTTTTTACTTACTGCAATTTCTTTAGGAGGTGGAAGTGACTCAACAATACAAGTAGTACTGGAAAGTGATGAAAATTTTTTCTCACTGTTTGTAGGCAGGAACAGCTGTGGTTTGATTTTCAAACTGCATTTAAAACCTGAAACAGACAGGGACAGTAACATGGTCATGAGATTTGTAAATTGGAAACCTACAATGAAAACCTAGTCACAAACAAGGACGACCATTAGGAAATCACTGAGATACTCCAATAATCTCGTCAAAAATGATCAGATAATTAAACGTATTGTAAAAGACAGCAGAAACATATGGGCTGTGACTATGGCAATGAGTTTGTCTCTTCCAGAATCGGTATTAACCTCTGTAAGTGGTAATCAACTGTTGAGATGAATCCAGGTATACTCCAAGAAGTCTGTAAAACTGTCAGTAGTACAAAAATTCAAGCTGACTTTCATATTCATCACACTTTCCTGTCTGCTTCAGATGTTTTCATACAATATGAAAACAAAAAGCACAACAAAACCAGAAAAGAATAGTTCAAATTTGTCATTTATTTTTTCTTGCTCTAGTTACTCCTGAGAAGCTTCTTACAACATCCCTATTTTAACCCTAATTTCAGAAACACTGTGTAGAATGTGAGCACTACCAATGGCCAAAGACGAACAGATTTTTAGTCTCCTGAGTAAGCACAGATACACTGATTAATTCAATTTCTGATTTGCTGATTTAAATTGCTCATCTGACATCTCCTACACTCACTTGCAAATAGCACTGCATTTCAATCTTGAATCAAAGAATTTTCTAGCATGTTTTTGGTTGCATCTGGAACAAAACATTACTGTAAAAAACATTTCTTTCTGTATTGGAGAGCATTAGGATGTCATATCAAAGAGCATGTAGTTAGCTATCCAGTAAGCTTCATCAGCATATGTGTAAAAAGAAATACTATTTCAATGGATTTACAGGACAAAAATTCCTTTAAAAGTGATTCTGATTGATACTTAAGAGCATTCCAACTAATAGTGGAAGCAACTAGTAACAGTCTTCCTATTTACCAAAATTGTTAAGGATTTTGAAGGTCTTTACTTGGTCACTGATAAGTGAAACAAAATAGAGAGACGGGGAAATTGGTGGAAAAGACATTGATTTAGGAGTTAGTTTCAGAATCAAAGCAGTGGCATGATAAGAAAATGTAAAAAGTGTGAAGTTTGTGACATGGAATGAGTAAAATGAGATTTCTGGGTCTCCCTAGTTCCTTGCATGTGTTCGGATATCAAAAGGCAGAAAACAAGATGTGTTTTTCTCTTACTGTTTGTCTTGATGCTTTCCTGTTGCTCTCTTTTCTAAGCCTTTAAATTGTAATTACTTAGAGTAATCTTTTCAATTATTTTATGCAAATTGTTCTAAAATGATCAGTATACACGGATTGCCAATACAATTATAGGGCAATAAGAAGAATGCTACCCCTTCCCAAGAAACAGGAACTGAGAAAGCAAAAGAGATGTTTTCATGCTTTATGCACATATTTCTCCATTAACTGAGGCAAAGCCTGTACGATTCCTTCCTGAAATGGTTGCAGCTGCAGGATCTTTGACCAATGATCTGAAGTCAGTTAATGCCTATTGAACAAAATGCATGGTAATTTATCGGGTTCATGTAGCTATTGGACAGAATTCTAATAATCCTTAGAGCTTAACTGTTAATTAGAGATATATTCCGTATTATGTAGCAGAGTAATAAAGGTTCCAGATGCTTTGTTGCTCTTCAATCAGATTGTGCCATCAGAACTCCAGAAAGACAAATATTTCTTTTTTTATCCTCATAGACCCAACCTGTGGATAATTCTAGATGTGTGCAAATCTCTGAAGATTTCTTATGTACAGGTTTTTGCTTTCTTTTACAGATACATGGCCATTATTGATCCCTTGAAACCAAGGCTCTCTGCAACTGCTACCAAGGTGGTCATTGGGAGCATATGGATTTTGGCTTTCCTGTTGGCCTTTCCCCAGTGCCTCTACTCTATAACCAAGGTGATGCCTGGGAGAACTCTGTGCTATGTAGCATGGCCAGGCGGTCCAAAACAGCATTTTATGTAAGCATTTTTCTTTTAAACTTCTGCATGGCGATGCCTATACTTGAAATGGATACTACTAGTAGTTATTTTGTATAACAGCACTGAGAAAGTCAAAGCAGAATTGCTAAGCTTGGAAGATAGTTCATTTAAATGACAACTGGAAGAAAATATTCTCTTCCTCGAGTGTTTTTCATTCCATGCTGCAATGTTTACTATCACTGCTTCACTTAAGATGGCTACTTCTATATAACAAAGTTGGTCAGAAATGGGAACAGAATATACAATTCAAACTAAGCTTATCATTTATCTTAATGAGTAAAACGGTATTTCCAGCCTCTCCTTGTCACAATCAGATTTTTCTTCTCTGGTTCTATTCAGAAAGGATCAGGTTTCTGCACTTCATCCTGTTACGCTGTCACAAGTACGTATCTCAGGTCTGAGCTGGAATAAGAAAACTGTAAAATCTGTAATTCCTTCCACATTCTGAAAGTGTGAAGCAACAGCCAATTAAACTGGATGTATCTTGTTTGTCCCTCCGGCAGAATTAGGAATAAGTGGTTACCTAGCCATATAAACATTATGTCCCTGTTCAGATCCTCATTGGTATTTAAGATGAACTCTCTGTCCAAGGTTGAAAACCTGCATAGCCATACAGCATCAAATTTGACCTTTTGCCTTCCTTCAGGCAGGTGAAAACGGCTCTGATCATATATGATTTTGATCACTGTAGGAGCCACCCACAGGTATTTTATCTTCAGGGCAGTAAGTTCACTCTCAGTGACAGTTGGGAATTCTTTACTGATCATTCAGTGGGATTTTATGTGACAATGACATTTAACAAGGATCTAGCAGGAGGCAAAATAAGTTATCTTTTTTTTCCCCAGCGCTCACATTGTCAGAGATGACTATGTTTCTCATAGGCAACAGAGGAGCCATATGAAGTACAAATACAAAGGATGCCTTTGTATAAAGACAGTATTTAAATACTGCATTTCTACTTTCATTTCTGGTGCGGATTAGAATTCAAATACCTTCGCTTGCTCTTAGGACACTTGACCATGCAATAAATAAATCAATTCAGCTAGTTATGGACAAAGATACCTCATTCTGAAGTCATTAATCAGTATTACTGTAGAGTCATTCTTTATTTTACTAGAACAAGTTCAGAATCACAGCTAAAGATCCTAAAGGCACTTGCACTAGAATGGAAATAAATATGCAAGATACTTGAAAAAGACAGTGAATGCACCAAGGGCTGCCTCATCAATATAAAGCACGCTTCTCGTAACAATAGCACTCTCCTTCCAGCAGCCCATTCCATCACCTCTGAAAGCATTTACCAGCCTAATGATTTTTCATTGCAGGTATCATGTCATTGTGATTGTGCTGGTCTACTGTTTTCCACTGCTTGTCATGGGCATCACTTATTCTGTAGTGGGAATTACCCTCTGGGGAGGAGAAATACCAGGTGACACATCGGACAAATACCATGAGCAGCTCAAAGCTAAGAGAAAGGTACTGTTCCATTAAACCTCACTAAGTGACTCTTAATAACATCACCTGTAATTGTACTGTAAAGTATTGTGGTATTCTCTTTCACAAACACAAAGGCATTTGAAATCAGAGTAATGAGACTGACTTCAGTTTTTTAAAAAAGACAAGTTTTCTTTTAAGTTCACCAGTTGGTTTGTTGTTTTTTTTTTTTTTTTTTTTTTTTTCCTCTCTAACTTCACTGTTCTTCATTACATAAAGGCAACATTTGGATGTTAACTTCTTATTCCATATATAGTGCCTGGTAAGTGTGTCTGATATGAGGAAATTAAACCCAATTGTTTAGCCTTTATAGACCTAAAATACTGAGTTTTGAACAACTGGGCTGGCAAACCATTAACTCCCATGGGTCAGATTCTCACTCTACTGAAAAAATCAGTGAATCTTATTGCAATTTTCAGATCAGGAATGGCAGATAAGCCTAGAAATCTTCACAGTATGATATTCAGTGCTTCCCATGACACCAGAGGTAGGTGGGCTTTTGGGGGGGCTTTATGTACCTCTTGCAGGAGGGCAAAATGTTATCTTCTCTTAAGGAAGTGAGCATGTTTTGACTGCTATTGTACTGTGATAGTTCCAACATATTCTGGAATGTGAACTGAGAGGAAATAATGGAAAAATAATCAATATGCTTTGACTATCTGCCTCCAGATTAAATTATTGGATTTGTTTCCAGAAATGCTGAAAGCATTTCAAAACATCAGCATTTCAGTCTTTAACATTATCCATTCAGTGTCCCACTTTATTATTACAGTCTTTGCTGTGCATGTTGTTTCTTACCCACAGGTGCATGTTCAAAGTTACAAGATGTTCTTTCCTGCAGAATGGAAGCAGGAATTGGTTTTGCTGGTCACTTAACTGGGTTATTATCAATAAAGGCCTTCCAGCCTTAGAAAAAAGGAAGAAGTATTCCGGGAAGCATATGTGGGTGAAGATAAAGTGACATATGACCTTGTATAGCAGATATGGTTTACAAAAGCAAGTACCGAAAAAATTATTTAAAGCAGTAACTTGGAAAAACAGGAGATCTTATAATAATTGAGTAAATTAAACACCTCATTTCATACACACCAAAGGTTTCTATAGACAAAAGCTGGCTTCTACTGTATGCTAGGAAGAGTTCAATTAAATCACTCAAATAGTTTAAAAACAGCACTCTAGTTATATGCAAGAAAAGGAATCCTTGATTAAAGCATTTTAAATGTGAGAGCACTTCACGTCTTCAACACATGCAAAAATGGGCACCCACTTTGTGCAGACACATTTGTAACTTCATCAGTGCCTTAACCGACAGAGCTCCATGACATCCTCAGTTCTACTGCTGCGCTCTCCAACAGGATTTATGAAATGATTTATGTTTGGAAAAATGAATCATAATCAGTCAGTCACAGTGATAAACTAATAGACTAGAATCCAGATAAAACTATCCCTCAGCCAGCTTCTGGTAACAAAGCTATTGCTTTCTCTTTATTCAAACAACGAAACCATCTGTTTTTCCTGCTATTTAGTATGCAGCTATCTCACTACAAGGGAAGACTGTATTGGTTGTGTTTACTATGAAGGAGAACAATAACAGTAGGCAGAATGTTTCATGTCATGCAAAGCATGTTGGATTAGGGCTCTTTGAAATGCTATTTAGTGTTAAGAAACTAGTGAACAGTTGATGTGAGACCTTTTAAAGAAACAATACTTGGCAAGAAAAGATTTGAAGCTTGAGAAATTTGATAGTAGATATTCTCATCAGTTGGTATATCCAACAACATGATGAACCCTGAATTCTGCTGAAAACAACCTCCAAGAATAAGGAATTCTAAGAATTTCATTATACACACTATAGGTTGGACAACATAAAGTCATGCTTAGTATACTTAAAGGTCAAAGACTTGACAGTTTTAGAAATTTGGGAGTGGCTGAGAATACTGGTGTGAGGAAATATTTTGAGAGAAGGTATTTCATGACAGAAACAGATTATCTGCTTTTCGTATCATCTATCAGTTCAGATATAAGCATTAGACCAGAGGCTTCAGATCTCAACCTGCTTTCACGAACTTCCTGTACTACTTCACGCTCCAGCATTTGAACCGCATTCTTCTTCCTCTTCATTTTCTTTACCCTTTTCTTTTACAGAACATGTGTGTCAGGGACCTACCCAGTTAATAATACGTAGTCTTACTCTCAGATGTTGTCTCCCCAGTCTGTTTTCTCTATCTAACCTTACATTCCAATCCCTCATCCAAATTTAACTAATGTATAAGAAGAAATAATCACATACTGTAAATCAAACTAATCCATTATTTTCTTTGATGCAGTTCTGATAAGAGACTAAAATGGCTCAGACTTCTCACTTTAGAGAGAAGGAAACCAAAGGGTGAAATGATTTAGGCTTACAGATTCACAGTGGTGGATAAAATGACTGAAGAACTGTTGAAGAACAACATAGCCTGAAATGCAAGAGCTAAGAAGTGCTCAACAAAACTAGTCAGAGAGCAGCTTAAAGCATGTAAAAAGAAAGAGTGTAAGAAGAAAGAGTACCTAAGAAATTATGAGCACCTACTAAGGTTTATACAGAGCATAAAACAAGGCCATACCCATAGCCTAAAATTTATTAGCTAAAAACAGGTGATGAAAATATCACACTATGAACTCATACCTCTTGGTAAGTAATTCTGAAATCAAAGACCCTGTTAGCAAGCAGTCACTATGACTAGACAGACAGACTAGTTAGTTATTGACCTATTCACAAAAAATGCACATGAAAGTTTGGATTCTAACATTTAAAAAAATATATCGTTTTGATACTGTGGGTCGAAGGCATTGTCTTTCACATGACTCCCTATTTCCAACACCACCTTGAAAACCCATTTTTTTCCTAGACATTTGTTCAGACCTAAGACATGAGGATCAGCACTGTAGTCTCCAAGAACTCATATATATATAAATGATACATTCCATTTTCAAAATGACATAAGGCATTTAAATTGTTCAACATAACAGAAGGTCGCTACAATGTGATTATCCTAAAGAGTAGCTGCAATCAACTGCTCTACACACTTTTTTGCTGTCTGTTTGAAAGGACAGCCCTCATGTTCACTGCTGATGTCTTAATTTGCACTGAATCATCACCTACATTTTTTAAAAGTTAAACACTAACAGAATTTTTTGAGATAATAGCCTGCCAAGGTTGCACACTTGTCTAAATATTCACTCATGTACATTAAACACACACAGAATCAAGTCCTACAGTGCACAGGTACAGGAGGATGGCACCGGCACCTAGGTTACAGCTCATGCAAGCTGGCTGTTTAACAGCAGATTGTGGAAAAGACACATTGACTTCTTGCCTTTCCCACTACTTATTATTTCATGTGGAATAAATACTTCCACCTCACAAGTTTGTGCTTGCACTTCATGGACAGAACTGACTGGGAAGGTGATGCAGTAGCATGTTGCTTATATACTTACAAAATGCCAGTTCCAGAACTGTGCAAACAGCGCACATGCACAAAAGGGACACAAGTGATTCTCCAAGGGAAGGACTACTTCATTCTGGTTGATTTTACATTTCTCTGAGTGGTGAGTGAAACAACCTACCCATTCTATCACAAAGTAATGAGGTGCAGAAACCCAGTATACTATACTATGTGCCTCATGCCAAAAATAAATGCATCTGTACATTTCTGATCCATCAGTAATCCTCTCCTATAAGTGGGTTTACTCTTTGACCTTACAGAAATTGGCAATGAAAACAAAATGTAGCAAAACAAAGAAGAATACATTAGAACAGAAAAAGAGAGAAGAGGAAGGTAAAGAGTTAAATTCCATTTTATCAGCATGTAGTCTTACTGATAGTGTATGGATGACTTATTGCTTGAGTTTCTGAAATTTCTTCTAAGCAGGTGACTGCCACATGCATTACTTACTGGTTATTCTTCATACTGACTCTGATGTTATTTTGAGGATCAGCATCTCCTACAGAAGTATTTCCAAAATAGTCAGCTTCTTAGTCAAAAATGGAAGCAAAAATGTTGCACTGTAAATAAATACTGTTTTGGAAAGCCATTGTAAGTGACTATATGAAAGCATGCTGAGGAGTAGGGAGGGGAAGAACAGGAAGTATTTGGAGCAAGATTAGAAATTAGAGGTAGGCCAGTTTCACTAGTGATATGACCCAAGCAAGACTGTTTGCTCAGATGTGCTATTACAGACCATATCTCAACACATGAAGCCTTTATGACAAGTCATGCAAGCATATGTTGCTACAATCAAAAATAACTCCGAAATTCCTAGGTCTGTTCAGGCTCAACAGCCTGTATTTTCTGTATGGGATAAAAAGGACAGATGTACTACACTAGATTGGTTTGTATTCAATGGAAATTATTCTTTGTTTTATGAGATGTGAAATTGGAAGTACAAAGCTGTTCCTCTCAAAAGGTCTTTTCAAAGCTTCATTTGTACTTCAGCTGTCATAAAACAGTCATAGAGCAGGTGAGGTAGCACCAGTGACAACAGAAGACAGCCTTTGCAATTCCTGCAGTATTGGTAAACAGCGTGAAGTAAATAGATGCATAGGTATTTATAGTGGCAGACTTTTTTGAGATTGAACAGCTTTTTTATTTTTATTTACTTTATGAAAAGAAAATGAATGGGACTAAACAGACATCAGCTTCTGAGGCTCCTACAAAGCAAACTCATTCCTACTTTGCAAGACTGGATGACAATGAACAGCTTCCAGGGTTCCTTCCACTTACTCACTGGATGTCAGTTCATCTCTGTCAATATCAAAAAGTTCAATGAAAGTAGAACGGGAACAAGCCTCGAGGCCCCAGATCTGTCATAACAGGTGACCCTAACAAAATTCTGATATCATCTTCAGTCTGTGTCTTAAAGTCACTTTGCCTTCTGGACTGCTACATCTCATTGAGAGTGTTCTAAATTTCTCTGCACCCAGCGTCCCGGTTTCCAGG